TTTTTTTGGTTTTCGTTACTGTTCATAATCGTGCAATCCGATTAATTGTGAGTTTCGAAATTCCGGCTTTACAGCAAATGACGCATCTCTAAAATTTGTTGAGAATATGAGTGTTAGAAATTGTTTTCTGTACGCTCTTCTGTGCTGTGATTTTATAAAAAAATAATTAAATCTGGAGAAAAAAAAATAGAAGATAAAAGTGGCTGAAAGAGGAAAAAATGTATGTGCAAATTTTTTTTTTGTAGGAACATTATTCATCCTTCCAACAGCCGGATATTTATGTACCAGGAAAGATATTCTTGATGGATGGCCAGCAATTTTTTATCTAAGTGCAGCAATCGGCTTACTCGTTGCTCTGTTTTGGCTACCAATGGGTGCCGATAAACCGGCAAAGCAACTATGTATTTCACAGCAGGAACGACTATTCATTGAAAGCAGGTTATCCCAGTGAATTCTACTTTTCAATTACTGCCAGCTTCTTTACCTTCGCTCCACTCCTTTCCATTTATCTATCCTTTTGCTCTCACCAAGAAAAATTTTTTTTAATTAAGTACAAGTATTACCAATACAGTAAGCAACAGTGCGATTGCCCTTCCCTCAATAAAATGAGAAATAACTGAAACGAAGACTAATGGAAATGACAATAACTAAGAGCAACAATGTAAAATACCGATAAAATAAGAAACATTAAAAAATGACGATTTTAATTAACTTTTTCAAAACATATGTTTTAAAAGCAATAGTCAACTAAAAACGGCCAAAACGCTTTAAAAATTATTACTTAATTAAAACCTACCCATAGCTACCGTAGCTGTGCTCCTGAGATAACTGGAAATTGCTCAGCAGACTTTCTTCCTATCATATTTTTTGATAAACTCACAATTGTTGGCCCTCTCTCAGTTTGTTAGAAGGTTGTAATGAAATAGAGCCACATTTGTTATTAGTAGAATTTACTGACTTGATTGGCAAAGAAAATTGCGCCATCAAACTGTACCAGTTCAACCGTTTTACCCTCTAGATAGTTCGCTATTCACTGAAAAAACTAAATCAAAACGACCCAATCTTAGTTTTTGACTGTCAAATTCCTTTCCGCTACTCAGCCAATGCTTCCACCGGAGCGATAACTGTTTAAGAACCGTATTGCCAAAATTTTGCAAAGATGAAACAGTGCATAATCGTAAAATAAAAAAAAAACAAGTACGGCTCGTTTTCTTCAATGCAGTCACTTAAAGTTCAATGCGGTATAAAATTTTAACTAAAGTAATTGTAGCCAAGCTTTCGTAATGCAGTAAGGTATATCTTAATGGTTTGACTTATTAGCAACCAGTTCGCATTGTTGTTTGATCTCAAAGAGAATGATGTTCTGACTACAGCACATGTTCAGGATTGCCTGTGAGTCGATTGGAAAACGAACGGCTCCACGTCGTATTCCATGGGGGGCTATAATACACTCATCAACAGTTTGGGCTGGTATATTCGCCTTAGTTTGCCACGAATATCCATTGGTTATTATGTTGCAGTTCCTGCCAAATTATATGCGTGATATTTTACAATTTGCACCAGCAAAGAACGGAATTATTTCGGCTCTACCAACGGCTTGTTTATTTATCAGTAAAACACTATCATCAAGCCTTTCAACTTGGTTAACCGTCAACACCACTTGGAGCAAGACTAAAATTTGCAAGGTAAATGCCGTAAACAGCTTTTCAACTATAAAAACAGGATTTCTCCACCAATTCACAATTCCAAGCGGCAATAATGCTTCGTTGACCAAAGAGTCCGTTTGGTTAACCTTCAGAATCCAACTGCCAAAGAAATTCACTGTAAACTTACACTCCCAACTGGCATTCACGAAACGCACAATTAGCATGTCGTCTGCCAGAATATTTGAAGCAATATAATCTTGAAAACACCTCTTCTCAAAGAACAAAATTCTTCTTGATTACAGGTGTTCAATGCCGTTGCTTCCGCTGGCTTGTCGCTGTGTGTTATTGCTGTCCCACAATTCAACAAAAACGCTTCATTTCTTGCAGTAGTTGCATTGTGCGGCGCAATGCTTTTCGCAGGTAACCTTGTCAAAAAAAAAAATTATGACGAGAGAAATTAAAAAGCACAATTCTCCCAATTTGTTTACTGCAGTTTAAATTCTCAGGAAAAAACCGTCAAACTATAAAAAAACTTCGTCCAGTAACGCGAAAGTTTTGGAACATTATTTTCAGGATTACATACACCCGGAGTACAAACAGCACTCGTCCAACTCGCCCCACCATTCTCTGGAGTTATTACCGGTTTATCATTCTTTGCCGTTGCTTGGTTCAGCATAGCCAACAAATTGTTAACAAAATATATTGTACAAAAAGGAAGTATAGAAGAGTGGTCTGCAGTAAGTTTGAAGTTTTTAAACTATTTTGAGCCAATTCCTGCACCTAAAAGCTTGATACTGCAGAATCAAAACACTTTGTTTTCAGGTATTTTATATATCGGGCGTTGTCGCTGCTTTGCCCGTTGTAGTGTTCACAATTTGGGGCTCCGGTGAACGACAGTGGTGGTCAGCTCCAAGCACGAAAACTTCCATGCACAGTCTAAACACACAGGGAACAACAGCATCAAATTAAATTTTATCTGTAAATAATTTATACAATTCCTCACCCCTTGTTGATCTCGCTGAAGTAAAAACAAAATAAAAAAACTGAAGACTGAGAAAACTGGAATACGGAAAGAGAAAACATGATTACATAAGCATTATATAAAACCAAACCACAACCTGAGCTGTATGGAAATTAAGTGGCATTCAGAATAACGCCATATACATGAACAGTAACTTCCAAAACATGAAATTTCTTGCATATCAAAACGTGAATAAATTCTAATTGTAACTTTAGTCAAAAAAGGTGGGTTTGCAAACTTTGCACGGCGTTTCCTTAAATGTCCACTTGAAACACGTAGAAAAGAGATCAAAACAACTTGCAAATAATGACTGTTCACTGGATCAAAGGCTACTGAAATCATACAATGGGGAACGTAACAAGATAAAAAAAACATGAGATCATAATTCCAAAAAATCATGGAAGTAGAAAAATATTATCAAAAAAAAAAAAAAAAAACCCTAGAAGAACGTCGAAATATGTTGGAAATATTGCTAGATCGTTGTACAGCGACAACAGCTATTTCCCGACGTACTGTGCACTGAAAATCCGACTACTGTAAAGATAGAAAAGCTAGAATGTTTGAAGTAGCATGAAGTAAATCTTACATGAACTCTCTTGCTTCTTCGAAAGCATCTTGCAAATAGGAATATATATCATAATTAACAACTTCTAAATCACAGTGACTAACGCAGCTTGTGGAGACCCAACTCCTAAAAGTGGAACAGTGACTAGTGGCAAAAAAAAAAAAAAAAAA